GGAATGTGTGAAGGCTCTATCAGATTTCTGGTTCAGAGTTTCTCAACCTGTGCAACAGTTTTTTGTTCTTCAAAGGAACCATAAAATTGGACATTTTCACTCCTTCCTTTGCTCCACTACCTTCCATGTATAAGAAGTAAATATCACACATTTAGAGGGTTTCTCTTCCACTATGAGTAAAATAGCATTAAAAGCAACAGGAAAAAATGATTTACCACTTCGTTAATGTTCAGAGTTTTTGTAGTGTGAATCCTCCACTTGAAGATGATGAGGAAAATTGGATCATTTGCCAGAATTTTTGCATTCAAATAGCATTGCTACATTACCATTTGTTTAACGATTATTAGAGGAACTGCACCAAAGGGGTTTACATTAATATATGTTTGTTCTGATTGTTTACATTAATATAGCTTTGTTCCAATACAAGTTATTTCATGTTTTTTGAATGCCACGGCAACAAATAAAGAATTTGCTTTTTATATACAATGTTCGTTCTTATATTTGAAAATAGCAAGATTAATTGAAGGCTTTTTCGTATTATTGACTCTCATTAGGCTTCTATCCAGTATGAATCTGTTTATAATTTGAAGCTGATAATAAAGGAGGGCAGGAGTTATGGCTCAACATTAGAGCACTCACCTAGAACATGTGAAGCCCTGGGTTCTATCTTAGCACCACATAAAAATAAGTAAATAACATAAAGACATTGTGTCCAACTACAACTAAAACAAACATATATAGAGAGGGGAAAAAAAGAATAAGGAAACATTTTTTACATTGCTTCCATTTACATGTTTTCTCTGCAGTATGAGTGTGTTTACACCCTTGAAAGAGAGTGACAATCCTGATAGTTTTTCCAGACTGTTTTCATACAGTCTCTCTCTGGTATGAGTTTTCAAACTGAATTAGAATGAGCAAAAGTTGTACCACATTGTTTACATGAGGTAAAAGTACTTATTGGAGGTCTCTCTCCAATAAGTTCATTCATGTACATGAAGATATACACAACTAATAAATGCTTTACCATATCATTACATTCACAGAGCTCTTCTCCAATATATTTTTATGTGTCTAAAGCCCACTATAATAAGTGAAGGTTTTCCCACATTGTTTACATTCACAAGGTTTTACCCCAGCATGAGTTTTGTCATGTATTCGAAGATAATTCAAACCACTGAAGGCTTTACAACACCATTTATTCTCATGGGGCCTTTCTCCATTGAGATTGTTCATGTATTTGAAGGGAAAGGGGAAAAAAAACATGAAGATTTTTCCTTTTATTTTTAAAAATTTTTTAGATGTTGATGAACCTTCATTTTATTCATTTATTTATAGGTGGTGAGGAGACTCAAACCCAGTGCCTCACACGCCGGGCAAATGCTCTACCACCGAGCCACAACCCCACCATGATGGTTTAACACATTATTTACATTCATAGATTCTCTCCAGTGTGAGTCTGCTCAGGCACATGAAGATAAACAGAACATCTAAAGCTTTTACCACAACGTTTACATACCCATGTAAGCATTCTTTCCAGTATGAGTTTTTTCATGGGAGTGAAGTTCAACGGGTGAAGCAAAGTCTTTCACGCAGTGTTTACATTCATAAGACTTCTCTTTCCTATGAGTTGGTTCATGTGAGCAAAGTTAACTGGATGAACAAAAGGCTTTCCCACAGTGTTCACACGGATCATGATTTTCTCCAGTATGATTTTGATTAAGTATTTGAAGGGTAGTTAAAGTAGTGAAGGCTTTTCAACATTGTTTACATTTATATGGATTCTCTCTACCATGAATTCCTTCATGTGTACAAAACTCAATGTACTTAGTGAAGGCTTTGTTTCACTGCTTAGAGTCATAGGGCTTCCCTACCATATGAATTTGTTCATGTGCCTGAAGAATAGAGGACTGAGTGAAGGCTTTCCCACACTGCTTACATTCATAGGGCTTCTCTCTAGCATGAGTTCTTTCATGTGAGTGAAGGTTAGATAACCAAGTGAAGGCTTTGCCACACTTCTTACATTTATAGGGCTTCTCTCCAGTATGAGATCATTTATGTATTTGAAGGCTAGACAAAGTAGTAAAGGCTTTACCACATTGTGTACACTCATACGGCTTCTCTCCAGTATGAGATTGTTTATGTATTTGAAGGTTAAACAACCTAGTGAAGGCTTTACCACATTTTGTACATCCATAGGGTTTCTCTCCAGTATGAGTTTGCTTATGTTTATAAAGGTAAGAGAAGGCAGTGAAGGCTTTTCCACATTCTTTGCACTCATAGGGCTTCTCCCCAGTATGAGTTCTTTCATGTGTGCGAAGGGTACCAGATGAGCTAAAGGCTTTGCCACATTGCTTACATTCATAGGGCTTCTCTCCAGTATGAGAGCGTTTATGTATTTGAAGGTTAAACAAACTAGTGAAGACTTTATCACATTTTGTACATCCATAGGGCTTCTCTCCAGTATGAGAGCGTTTATGTGTTTGAAGGTAAGAGAAGGCAGTGAAGGCTTTTCCACATTCTTGGCACTCATAGGGCTTCTCCCCAGTATGAGTTCTTTCATGTATGCGAAGGGTACCAGATGCACTAAAGGCTTTGCCACACTGCTTACATTCATAGGGCTTCTCCCCAGTATGAGTTCTTTCATGTCTGTGAAGGGTACTAGATAAACTAAAGGCTTTGCCACATTCCTTACATTCATAGTGTTTCTCTCCAGTATGAGTTTGTTTATGTTTTTGAAGGTAAGAAAATGCAGAGAAGGCTTTTCCACATTCTTTGCATTCAAAGGGCTTCTCCCTAGTATGAGTTCTTTCATGTCTGTGAAGTTTAGTAGATGAAATAAAGGCTTTGCCACATTGCTTACATTTATAGGGCTTATTTGCAGTGTGAATTTGTTTATGTTTTCAAAGGTAACATAAGGCAGTGAAGGCTTTTCCACATTCTTTGCATTCATAGGGCTTCTCCCCAGTATGATTTCTTTCATGAGCTTGAAGTGTACCAGTTGAACTAAAGGCTTTCCCACATTGCTTACATTCATAAGGCTTCCTTCCTGTATGAATTTGTTTATGTTTTCGAAGGGAAGAGAAGGCAGTGAAGGATTTGCCACATTCTTTGCATTCATAGGGCTTCTCTCCAGTATGAATTTGTACATGGGCGTGAAGGGTAGAGGACTGAGAGAAGGATTTCCCACATTGTTTACATCCATAGGCCTTCTCTCCAGTATGAGTTCTCTTGTGTGAGTGAAGGATGGAGGACTGGGTAAAGGATTTACCACACTGCTTACATTCATAGGGCCTCTCTCCGGTATGAATTCGTTTATGTTGCTGAAGAGAAGAGGAAGAAGTGAAGGCTTTTGTACATTGTTTACACTCATAGGGCTTCTCTCCAGTATGAGTTCTTTAATGTATTTGAAGTTTAGAGGATGTAGTGAAGGCTTTTCCACACTGTTTACATTCTGCCATATGAGTTTGTTTATGTACTTGATGTTCAGAGGAACAAGTGAAGACTTTACTACATTGTTTACATTCATAGAGTTTCTTCCCAGTGTGGATTTGCTCATGCTTGTGAAGTTTACTAGATGAAGAAAAGGCTTTACCACACTGTTTACATCCATAGGGCCTCTCTCCAGTATGAGTTCGTTCATGTGAGTGACAGTTAAATAACCGAGCGAAGGCTTTCCCACATTGTTTACATTCATAGGGCTTCTCTCCAGTATGAGTTCTTTCATGTATTCGAAGGGTAACAGATGAGCTAAAGGCTTTGCCGCACTGCTTACATTCATAGGGCTTCTCTCTGGTATGAGTTCGTTTATGTGTACGAAGGGAAGAAGAACAAGTGAAGGCTTTTGTACATTGTTCACATTC